TAAGTCTGCTTTTGTTTGCCTCCCTTCAGTTTTGCGTTGTTTCCCTGTCAGTTTTCTTGTTCATCTGCATCCATAATTTTATTCATTTCTCAAATCTTTCCATACTGCTTCTTGATCCAGAAGATCTGGATTGGACACTTTTATTTGTTTTTTTCTAAATATATTCCAAAAAGCATCACCTTCAACAAAAGTTTTGTTGTTGTTGTTGTTGTTGTGTTCAATGAATTGTAAAGTGAGTGAATTGTCTCATCCCTCCCTTCAGACTCAGATTAACTTTATTCCTTTGGGAAATTGTTTTATTGGAAACAAACAACACAGCACCAATAGACACTACTCTTTTTTAAATAAAAACCATTTTGAATATTATAAACATCTTTCTTTGATTCAGAATAGTTTAAAGCAAAGTGTATACAGTTAAAGGAAAATGTAAAACCATTCTATCTACCGGTATTATCCTTATCTATATTCAAAGACAAAAGGTATTTTAACCCCCTGAGTGTCATGGTCCTGGTCTGATTGTTCCTGTTTTCCTTAGTTATCCATTTGTTGTCCTCTGCTGCCCTCTTGTATCGTCTGCACCTGTTCCTCAGCCGCGGGGAGCGCCCCAGTCTGATCCTGTTCCAGAGCCGCAGTGGGCGGCCCAGTCTGATCCTGTTCCAGAGCCGCAGTGGGCGGCCCAGTCGGATCCTGTTCCAGAGCCGCAGTCGACGGCCCCTTCAGAGGCTGTTCCAAAGCCGCAGTCGACGGCTCCCTCTGAGCCTGTTGCAGAGCAACAGAAGCGGAGGCGGCGTCCTCCTCGGCGCATCCTGCTGAGGCAGAGGCGGCGTCCTCCTCCTAGGTTCCTGCACCATTGGAGACGCCGGCCTCCAGAGCGTCTCTCTCAGCTCCGGCCCCACGGTCGGCCTCCAGTGCGTCTCTCTCAGCTCCGGCCCCACGGCCGGCCTCCAGAGACTTTTTGTTGCCCTCGCCCACCCTGGGTGGGTTGTTTTGATTTTCGGACTCTGTTCTGTTTTTGTGCCTGGTTCCCCCTCCGCCCACCCTGGGTGGGTTGTTTTCAGTTTCTGGACATTTTAGGGCATCTGGGATCCGCCCTTAAGTGGGGGGTACTGTCATAGTCCTGGTTTTGATTGTTCCTGTTTCCCTTAGTTATCCATTTGTTGTCCTCTGCTGCCCTGTTGTGTCCTCCCTTCCTGTTTCTCTGTCCTGCCAAGCACCTGTTGCCAATTTCCTCGTCAGCTCTCTCTCTGTCTCTGTCCCCTTTAAAAGCCCTCCCTGTTCAGTTCCTGTTTGCTGGATCCTCGTCAAACATCCCGTCTCGCTTCCTGTCTGTTATCTGCCTGCCCTGTCTCGTCTCTCCCTGGCTTCTAGTTTGATTTATCCCTGATGTCTCCTTGGTTCAGGTTCGTTTGCTGTTTTTCTGTTGGACTCTGATTCCTGCCCCTGGTTCAGTGAACCAGAATAAACAGGCTTTATTCACCTCTGCCTACTGGTCTCTGCGTTTGGGTCCTCCACACAAACACCATGACACTGAGCTCCCCTTCCCTAACCAGCTGAAAGCCACACCTCTGTAGAGCTCTTTACTGACTAAAGCCGGGTATACACCGTACGAGTTTTTGCCCATTTGGGGCCAATTCTTCAATCGTGCGAGAATTTTTTGGATCGGGCCAAGTTTCAGCCACCTCGCCTGCCCTGCATTTTGTAGTATACAGGGGGTAACAAGGGGAGATCAGCCTCTCAGGTAGGGAGAAAGTAAAAAATGCCTAAAATTCAGTCAGCCCTCGTGAGGTGTTCATGGGTGATTCCTGCTGTTAAAGCAGAGCTATGACCGTGTACAAGCCGATTTACCAGAACCTCACCCACTGCGCATGTGCAAATGACTGAGTTCTTCTTCTTCATACAGATCGACAATTCCGACTAGTGGAATCTCTCGGCACTGAGTCCAACTTGTGGTTTTTGGACGTGCAGTGTGAGCATGTAGATCGGATCAGAGTGGCGGGCTGTGAACTTTTAAACCCTGTGGTTTTTAGGAATGAAAATATCGTACAGTGTTTGCCCGACCTTACTCATTGGGATGCATGCTGGCTTTTTGACAGCTCCCTCCACACGATTATATATTTATATATATATATATATATTTTTTTTTTTTTTAAACAATGTAGGCTGATTCTTTAGCTGTGAGCCAGAGAAGGAACTTGAGTAGAATGTTAGACAGCTATCTAATGTAGTTCACAGTAATGCAGTGGGAAAATTGTGGCGGGACTAACAATTGTATACTCAGGGTCGACTGAGACACTGAGGCAGACTTAGAGGAAAGCCACTTTACAAATGTTTGCCTGGGGCCCAAAAATGGCTAGGTGCACCTCTGCTGACATTTCACCCATGGCCCTCAGGCTAATGCCCTAAGTACTGGCTAAGGTCTGGCCAAGATAAATACTATCAATTCTGTTTCCAGATATAAAAAATACTTGTTAATGTTTGAAGATACTATACTGTTTGCTTTTGAAAACAGACAGTCTCCAGTATCTACAATATGTTAGAAATGCAGTTTTACCTGATTTAACCAAACAGAGAACCCACTTCAAATGGAAAAGCACAATTATTCTCCAGGCAGCAGAACAAAAAGACATTTTGAGTCTGTCAAAAGAGACTCAAAATGTGTTTTACCATTAAACTAGCTTGCTTTGAACAAACCGATAGATGTTTTAGGGCTTGCATAAAAGACTGATTGTAAAGCATTTTGGGGCCCCTGGGTTTGAGAAATACAGGCCACTTAGCATTTTTTTATAATGAAAGACAGGATATTGTTGGGATCTGGAGGTTTGTCCACTTTCTCCACCAGAGGGCGCATAAGATCTCCTGGAGCATGAGCCTACCACACCACCTTTCTCTCATCTGCTCATCAGGAGATCCGTACTTAAGGAGGCGGAGGGCTTCACTCCAGTGCCAGAGTGTTTGCCAGTAACGGTTAGCAAGCCTGAGCCAACCTGCCTGTCTGTGAACTCTGACTTTCTGCAAATCAAACCTGATCCCGTTTTTCTCCTCTCTGCCTCCCAGGTTGATCCTGCCTGAATACCTGAAACTCTGGAGAGTTTCTCTGCCGGTGATCTGTCTGCTCGTTCTCAGTAGGACTCTGGAGAGCAGCCTCAGTCATGTATCTGCCTGCCCGCTCTCAGAAGATTATTGGAAGGAAAACTCAATCTGTGATCTGCCTGCACTCAGTAAGCGCTGCCTCCGCCTCTGCCCTCAGCCTGCCGACAACCTCTGGACCCTCAAGGTTCCCCCCCTCTGCAGCTCTGCTCAATTTCCAAACAGGTACAGACCTGAACACTCACAACCTGCAAAATACCTGGACCTCCACTAATCTCTCTGTCCTCCTCAGCAATGAACCCACTCGTGACCAGTCAAGCCCCCTTTTGGATCTGAACAAACTTTGTACATTTATTATTAATAAATCTTTGAACTTTTTCATCTGCCTCCGAGTGTTCTGCATGTGGGTTAGACACATTAATCCGAACATGTAAGATATTATACATGACTACAGAAAGTTTGACCTCTTTTTTTGATCTAAGTAATCTGGTGTCACTTTCTGTCATAACTCTTCTTAGCTCTTAGCCTTAAAACTGATATTTACTTGTTCTAAATGAAAATTTTAGCTGTTTTCATAAATCTTTCTTGCAGATCCCCAGGTAATAAAATGTGAGCCTGATGATGGTTTAGGTTTTACTCCAACATTTAATCTGTGGTCTTTTCAAAATCCTGTTTGCTATTTACAATAAATAAACAAATAAAATTGTCAATTGGGATCAATGACAGGTCTTCACTTTAACATGACTAAAAGTGAAACTGTTGTAAATTCACATAAGGTACAGTTGTTGGAATGGATATGTTTCTAATAAACTAAATCATTGTTTGAAAATTGCAGTTAAAATTTGTGAAAACATTTAAATTCAATATTAGGGGTGTTCTCTCTCCGGGTACTCCTACTTCCTCCCACAGTCCGAAAACATGACTGTTAGGTTAATTGGCTCCTCTAAATTCTCCTTAGGTGTGAATGGTTGTTTGTCCTGTTTAGATTAGGATGAATATTTGGATTATGGATTTTCTGCTGCTCTTTTTTTTTAGCTGATCTCACACTTTTTTCTTTACATTATTCCTGAAAATAAAATAAAAAATGAAAGACAACAGAAATATCAAATCCTAAAGTTGATAAAAAATTTTTTATTAAATATCGTCCCTAATTCTTAACCTCACGGACCAAACTATTTATCTTTGAACTGCTTAATCTTCACTATTTTTTACTTTTGATCTTTTAGTAATTTGTAATTTAGTGTAATTCTTTTAGCTTTCCTGTTTTATTGTGTAGGTCAGAGTTGTTCTTTTCGTAGGTTAATGTAAAGGACAAATATTTACCAATGTAATCAAGATTTTATTCTTTATTTCGTTAAATGAATAGGGGATTGGAGTTAAGATACATATATTTCTAATGCTTTATTGTATTTAATTTTTTTTTTGGTAATGTGAAGTGTGCGTTTTAGATTTTCTGCCCCCTACTGACCCGCAATACTGTTCTATGGTATGTTTTATGGCCCTTAAAAAAGAGAGATTAATCATCAAAATTTAAATGTAGCAAATTATTGTATTCGGAATTCTGAATTTGTCATGAAAAAAGCTGATTTTAGATTTATTTTGGAAAAGTTGTTGTTGACTTCATCAAAAAAGATCCCTGGGGATGCCTTCAAAACTACGGACCATCTGTCCGTCTGAACCAACTGCGCTCTGTTCAGATAAAATGCAGCACATTAGTTAAATCTCCTTCTAGGAAACGGGCCAGCAGGTGCATCACTTTCCTAATATTAAAGCGCTGGTTATTTCTCCTTAAATTTGAGTTTGTTTTATTTGTCGGTGTTGCAAATGATTGTTGAGGAATCCAGCGTTTCCTCCCCGGACAGAGCCGCTCCACAAAAAGTGACACAACGTGGGCGGCGCATCGCAGAGCCGATCTGCAGCTGCTGCGCGGCTGCTCCACGCAAGATTCGGGAGCTGGGTGTGAAGCTGAATGGACGTGACGGCGTGGTCCTTTCCCCGTAGTGACCTGCGGAACTAAACACGCGTGTGGGCAGAAGCAGAGAGCGGGGCTCGAGTCAAGGTGGAGCTGCGCTCCGGCTGGAGCGCGTCTGACCCAAACTGGATCCCACTTTATGAGAACATTAAAACGATTCAATTTTTATACGTTTCTGATATCAACATCTGAAATCTACCAGCTCGTGATCCGCGGATGACAAACTGAACTATAGCTTTTGTAGGAAAACAGAAAGACGTTTCCTTCTACCTGCGCGTATTTTGCCTTTATCTTTAAGCCACAGTGCGCCTTTGGCACAGAAATAAATCAAATGTGCTGCTGCGGAAATCTTTTCTCCAAACTGAACTGAAAGGAGTGCGACCAAGAGGTGGAAATAAAAATAATCTGAATGAAGTGATAAGAACGCATTAATGGCTACATGAAAACTACCTAAAAAGGTTTGGAGATGCGGCGCAAATGCTTGTATCTGCTTCAGGTAAGTTTCTTCTATTTAAATGTTGCGCGTCCTCTTGATTTTCCTGCTTTAGATGTTTAATAGAAAAACTCACTACTTTAGATAAACTGCTAATGGGTTTAATCATGATGGAAATGATTTGAAAGATCCAACCAACATGCATGGGAATTGTCACCAAAATGTTTAAAGGAAAAAAGCTGCAAAATCCTCTCAAATTAAAGGCAAACATCACTGTCTCCATTAAAGGTAACGAGTTTCCCTCTAAAAAACAGAAACTTAAACTTGGATTTTCGCATAATAAAAAAAACAAGTGTAGTGATTGAGTCTATGCGAAAGCAGCTGAGATGCTGATGCTGAGAAATAATAAAAAAAAATGGCACAGCCTTAACGCAGCAAGTGCAAAGCTGTTTTTTCATTCACTATTCTCACCTCTCTGCGCCCTTGAAACGAGTTACCCGATATCACGGCATGTTTTTGCTGCTAAATGACGCCTGCAGAGGTTATAATGAGGACGCATGATGCGTTGACCTTCTGGAAGACACAAGCTGGTGATGCCTTGGGTGCAGGGCCGTTTTAGCAACTGATTTAGGAGGATTTGGGGCCCCCTTGCTGGTTTTAGTAGCATAGAGAAGTTTGCTTTGCAGAAATGTGTAACTATATTGTGTAAGAGATTATAACCTAATAAGGAACAGGATACTAAAATGGATTAATAAGGCATAATAAAACATTTTGCCTCCTCTGGCCACATGTTAAAATGACACCAGGGTTGTCCACATGTATGAGAGCAGAAAAAACAGCAGTGCAGTCTGCTGCTGAGGCTGCACAGGTTCTTTACTTTGAGGCTAACATCATCCTAGGTAAGAAAGTTATAAATATTAAAGTTATTTTAAATCAAGTATTTTATTTCTTTAGCAAAAAGAGGGCTATTGAGAGGACATCTCTGCTCCCTTCATGTTGAATGCTTCCCCATATCTGGGCCAAATTTTGTCTTATTTCATCACAGATTCATCTCCAATTTGGCCTATTTTGTCGCTCTAGACAAAAGTTTTCTTTTTCTCACTCTTGTGTGGAGTCTGGGATGAGGTTTTAGATACACTTGTGTCTTCCCTTTTGTGACAAATCTTCACAAACTGTATCCCCTGTTCTGTAGCTGCAGCTGAGACGCGGCAAAGCAATGAGAAAAATATGTCTGCAGCGCATCAGAGAATTCAGAGGGCACTGTGGTAAAAAGAGGAAAGTTAATTTTCCATTTCGGGCAATTGTGAGGACATACATATGTAGGAAAAACTATTCAACACAATCATAAACTAAGCAACATTAAAGCAGAATACCAAAGTATGTACTGTATGTGGCCCAATAAGGCTTACTGAAATTTAGGTTGAAGATAATGCAGAGACTTGACTGCTTTTAAAAGCAACAATAACAACAGAACATAGTTGTTATGAGCAATAATAATGCAGAATATAGTTTTAGTTCAATCTAGTTTGCCTATATCTTATTAGTATTTGAAAGGTTTGCCAAACAAATTGCATGACCTGGGTGGGACGTTTCTGGGATCTCACCACAAGCTTCTCACGACAGTTTGCTGAAATTTTGACCAACTTTTGGCCAGTCCACAATTTAGCTTTGTAGTCCTTACCTTAGCGATAGGTGCTTACCTAAAACCTTGGGCACTCACCTGTGCCCATGCTTTAACTTGTGAAGCTGTTCCTTACCCTAACTCTTTGGTTTTAGTGTCATCAGACTAGGGCAGGGAAAATAAATGCATTTGTAATTCAATGACATTTGTACAAGACAAAATTTTCAAATTGCAGAGGCTCCCATTTTTGGTCAGATTGCATTTGAAACAGTATTAAGACACTGAGTTTCTCATTCCAACTCGTTAGGTGGCAGTGATACACTTACGATGGGTTTGCCAACACACATAAGGGAAAAAAAGTTGCAGCAGATCCATGCATAACAGTAGAACTAACCACTTTTAACCATGAAAGTATCACTAAGATCCTGCAAAAACTGACTCTAGATAAGCAAGCATTCAAGGTCATGAAAGCAATGAAATCCTGCGGTGAAAAATCTACAAGCCTTTGGTTACTGCAAAGGAAAATAACAATAAAATTGAAAACATAATATTGGGTTGAAAAATAAAACACACCTTCATCAAGCCACAGTGAATGCCTCCAAAAATGACTGCCTTTTTTAGTGCATGTGAAAACTAATCAATTTTTATGTATGTTAAAGTAATGACTTCTTCCTCTCTAAGTGGCCTTCAATCCTAGGTCATTACATGACTCTTTTTATCCTGGAAATTGAGCCTTTCTCATCAGGCAGCATCTTTAAATGGCTTTTTGCTTTTGTTTTTAGGTTAGTTTGCACATTTCTCTCCATATAAATTCTTCTCTCTTAGACAGAACCCATCTCCTTACTGAGCCATAAGATTATTGGACATTCTTCTGCGGTTTGCTTCAAATTGTTTGAATGATTTGGGGGCCTTTAGGAATGCATTGTCACACAAGTAAGCTCCATGTTTGACTGACTTCAAATACATCAACAGGTCTCATAGCAAATGCATTGGTTGTTGTATTTTGACCTCTCTGACCCTCTCCTAAAGCCCTGATATCTTAATCTGTGCTTTACAAATTTTTTTAAGACAGTTTTTTAAATTATTTTAAACTTCTGATGTGAAAGACTGATCTCTAAAATAGTTTTTGTCTTTATTTGGACATTTTTTAATTAGTCTTGGTAATGTGCCCTGACTTCAAACATTCAAAAAAAAAAATGTATTTTCATATAGTGAAATATCTGGTTTAGCTGCATAAACTTATTTGCAAAACATAAAAGAAGGAAGGCGATTCATCTAAACCTTCATTCCTTACCTTACATTCCCAGGTAAATTTGGCAAATTTCTGGCAAACTTCTTCATGCACCTCCTGCTAATTGTGAAAAAAGAGCTGCTGCTAAGAATAGTCAACAGTCTTCTACACAATCCCACCCCTGATTTCTGTTTGAGTTCCCTCTGTTTGGCAAAGCAAATTCTCAGTCATATGGAATATTGAAAGCAATAAAAAACTTGAATTCGAGGCACTGAAGTTTTGCTAATTTTTTTGGGGGGGGAACATGTCAATAACTTTCCAGCAATCTTTGTCAGTTCTGCTGGCACATACAGGTTGCTCTTGTGCGATCTATCAGAACTCAGCGAAAGTCTGGTTTCCTTCAATTTAAGCCTTTTTGTGATACCATCCATTACTATTTAAGACCCCTCATTCACAGACAGTACATGTCTGGAAAGGTCAGAAAGCAGCTAATCCATGCTAATGAAGCTGTGAAGCTTTTAGTTACAACATACAAAAACAAGACATGTATGTTTTCCTTATAAAACCTGAAAATTTAGTTGACAAAATCAAAGATGTTCTTATATAAATGAATGCATTTTGTTGCAAAAGTTATTTAATTGTCTAGATGTATGGTGAGTTTTACCTTAAACTCTTTCATATTTTTTACCCTTATTTACAAAGTCTGCATGATGTCATCTTTCTACATAAAAACATAGGATCTAATATCACAGGAGAGTTGCCACACCTAGTTGTCTTCTTTTCTAAAAGAAAAAGAATCCACTTGAGTGTTATAATTTGAGACAAGTCACTTTATAACCAGGGGCACTTGTATTGAGAACATTATGTTGACGTCTTGCCATGTTGAATCCTGAATAACTTGCGGTCATTGTTCTGTTTACTTGTTTTGAAGATCTGACTCTTGCATATATAAGACAGACTGCAGCAAGGTGCAGAGAACAGGTCTCTGCACATAAAGAAACAACCATGTAAAACCATCTCAACAAGTATCCCACAATCAATCAAAAAAAACAAACAACTACTCATAGTACGTCTTCATTTTATAGCCCATGTTTATAGTCATAGAGTACCTGAAAAAGATGCAGTTTCCTCATATAAAAAAAATGAAAGAAAACATTAATAAAAAATTAAAGGTCTCATTTACTAGAATATGTATTAAGAATCTGTTTACAGTGGTATAATCTCACACCTAGAAATGCTTAAAAGTCCAACATTTATTTATTTAAAACTTAAATTCATTAACTTTATTTGTGCATATAATAAATAAATAACATTTGTTGCAAATAAACATCTATATTAGAATTATATTATTAAAGCCAAATTATTGAACTCACCAGATTATATAAATTTAAAGGAAATGTAGTTTTAAACCACTGTAGTTGAAGTCATTGTGCTATGTTGCTTCTTGAAGCCTTATTTTGGGTGTTTGAGCTGCTGCATTAAGTTTGATTCAGAAATGCAAAATCTGATACCTGGATCGGATATTGGCTCTGATATCGACTAATTAGCTGGATCGGATATGGATGATTTGATATTGGATATCCAATCCAGTGCACTTTACATGGAACTGTCATTTCTCTCTTTTTGCTGCTTCGCTTTTAATAAATAATATAAAGGATTTACTCACATGGCAAGATATATGGTTAATTCATTCAAAAGTTGAATCAGCTCAATAACGGATATTGGCCGATACTCTCAGCTCAGGTATCGGTATCGGATGGGATTGGAAAAAACTGGATAGTATGATTTATCTCGTAGCTTTTCTTTTTTTTTCAGATAAAAAAAAAAAAAAAAAAAAAAAAAAAAAAAAAAAAAAAAAACTGGTAAAAAACCAGGTACTGTTATACACATTAAAAAAAACTATAAATTAATGGCAATTAGGGTTGTCACCAGTCATTCATCTAAGGTGCAGAATTGAGGAGAATGCACTTTCAGAACACTGTGTGATTGAATAACTCTGTGCACTTTTCAGTTTCAGACTTTTTTTTTTGTAAGAGGTGCAGCTGCTGAGAATTATTTTTGTTTCTTGTCCGGTTTGGCTAGCGTCATATGTGTGCAAAGCATTGCCAAGGAAAGAACACTTCATTTTAATTTTATAAGTTTTTTATCAAGCTTGCTTAATATTGTGCACAGCATACAACCTCAAAATATTGTTCTTATTGTTTATTGTAGTAATTTATTGTATTTTATTTATTATTGAAAATATTTCTGTTGAATTTTGGAGTCTTTGTTTTTATCCTTGTGGTATCGAAAATGGTATCGAGTATCGAATATTTTCCTTAGTATCGGTATAGAGTTGAAAAGTTTAGTATCGTGACAACCGTAATGGCAATATCAGTGACTTTTGTGTTTGAGTTTTAATTTCCCCCTAAACCTTTTTAACTTTTTTTACTCATGGGGCGTTAAAAGAAACCCAACAGTAATTCTGTTTATACTGCAAGACGTCTGCTAAAAACAAAAAGAGTAAAAACCTAAATGATTGACATTGAAAGAAGAAATTTAAAAAAGTAAAAATTTTACAGACAATTCAGGGGTGTCCTTCTCTCTTCTTCTGGTTTCCTTCAGGTTTTATATGTGTCCCTTCCTCCCGTACAGATGGAAATGATCAAATTACCTTTTTGGCTTGTTAGTGATCTCTACAAGGGGACATGGCAGAGACCCATTATTTAATTAAACTGTGTTGAACGCTGTGACCAGTGATCAGCAGGTCAAAACCTTTTTTCTATTTTTTCACCATGTATTCAATTGATAGAAAGGTAGCCATTGTGTTAAGCCTTTGTTGAACCTTTTTCAGTCTTTAAACTGCGTCAATGTGTCTCGAGTTGAATAATCTATTATAATATCAGATGAAGATACAGGAACACATGATGTGATTAAAATAATAAGTATAATCTTGTAATCGCTTCATGCTCTACAGCCTTTTAACCTTTTTGTTGTCTGCAACCGTTTGGAAAAGATGACGGTGGAAGGAGCATTATATTTTGTAGGCGAACCACACCTCTAACCTGCAGCTATTTGCCGAACATTTCAGCAGCTTTGTTCAACAAGTGTCTGACTGACTGGTTCTGCAACACTTCCAGGTCACAGGATGTAATATGAAAACAATAATCAGCTGCAAACAGACCTAAACTACCCTCACGTAGAATTGTTCGACCTCAGAGGATCCTGTCTATGAAAGTCTATGTGTAGTATCTGTTCTTATCAGTTTAATATCTGATATGTCACCTATCCGGGGACCATATAATAAATAGTTTTTTAGAACAGGGAACTGGAACAAGGGCTTGCTCTGTCCACTCTACGCATCAACCTGGTATTGCAGAACTTCCAAGAATGGTGCACTAATGGGGGCCTAGTGGTTAGGGCATAGAGCTTGGAATCCTGAGGTTCTGAGTTCAAGCTCCACTCCCACAGACTGCCACTCTGGGTCCCTGAGCAAAAGACCCTTAACCCCACACTGCCCCCTAGGCGGTGCACAATGGCAGACCACTGCTCCCCCAGGGGATGGTTAAATGAAGAGAGTTCATTTCGTTGATCTGTACGTGTGACAGTGTAATGACAATAAAAGCTGGAAAAAAACTAAAACTCGAGATTCCTGCACATACTGTATCACCCGTCACCTTAATCGTGCTCCTCTTTGGAGATGATCCGAACTGAAAAACAAGTCAAAGCAGGGAATACAAAAAGGAAAATAAGGGAGATGTAAGCTGGAAAAATTTACCTCTTAATAAGCTCAAAGTATGCTCAAAATGAGGCACAAAATGCTCATAATAGAAAAAGGTTTGGATCAGCAGCTCCTCTGGACTACGGCGTGTTTTAATACTCGGCCTCAGGCAGCTTGCAAAGTGTTTTAACTTACCCACATGGGAAAGGTTTTTTTCCTCCTCTTTGCTCCACTGCTTTTTCCTAAAATCCTCATATGGCAGAAATGCGCAGAAACAAAAGTCTGCAGCATAAGAGCTTGCTTATAGTCTGATATAGTTGTATCACTATCTGCATTTAAGTTCATTTTTTCTTATCTTATGCTGTTTTTCACACTTAAAGTGCCAACTCTGTTCTATTTTATTAGAATAAAGACGGTTATCATATGGATGCTGATTTAATTCCTTGTCAATTTGCTCTTATCTTGTGTGATCTGTTGTTTTTCTAGTTGGGTGATTAAGAAATACAAGTGCTGCTGCATTACAAGCAAAATCTGATTATTCCTACTGAGTCAGTCTGTGGTTGTATTCTCATTGGTAGCTATATTGTATAAATTTACAAAATGTTCATTACTAGGGTTAGATAAATAAATCAGAATGATATTGAGCTTTATTCGAAATAGAAGATCTTTTACATGTTTTCTAAACCAAGAGCAGAAGTACTGTACTTCCTCCTGTGCTACCCAGAAGTCTGTTGTTTCTGACAGTTCTGAGTATCCAGCATTGCCATTGATTTTATAATTGCGTTGACAGTGTACTCACATGCACAGTGAGGTCAGTTTGCCATAATCAGAAAGACGTGATCAAAAGCAGTGTTTACTAGTACGGTACGTCATTTGGACATTATTTTTGGGTTACAATTTCCAACCGATATGAGACTAAATCTTCTTGTCATCACATTGATATGAAGCTTTTTTTATTGGCCCTTTATGCTAACTAGTTATGTCCATGTAAACATCCTTATTGTTTTCCAGATATCTTAACTAAATGTTAGAACTCCACGCTCCTTGATGCTTTGCAGGCTGAGGCTGTGCATTGTCGTGTTAAAATAACCCAGCCTGTAGATGTGTAGATGCATCTACATCAATGGTACCTTTAAAATATGCTGCTTAGTTATAAACTGAACTTGGATACCAGAATGTATTTTACACACTTCCCTGATACTTAGCTGGATAATGGTTTTCTTTGCTCCACCAAAACCAGGACGAGTAGATGACTTCCATCTCAGACAAGCACATGTCTAGAGAACTCAGCTGTTTTTCTCTGCAGACCTACCAGTTGTGTAATATGGTTTCAGGTTACGTTCTTCCATTCAGTAGCCAACTGTCCTGAGTGACAATAGTTTTCCAAGGTTCTTTAAGCCCATGTGGCTAAATTGGTCACAGTAGGGAGATGGTTTCTCATGCAGTGAGCATGAAGACAGTACAAATAAATCAGCATACCAAAAAGGCCTTTGTGTTAGATTTATTGTGATGTTTGCTTGATGTCTTATAGATGCCAGGTTTATTCAGTCTACTAAATTATTTTCTACTGACCCTCTTTCTTTAAATCTATACACTCTGTCAATCTATTTGAAAGAATACATCTGGTCATGAGCGTGAAACAGACAAAGGAGCACCGGAGGTCTTGAGCCTTAACCAACACTGTCTTCTGGTATTTGCACATTAAAATTTATCTCTGTGTTCTGAGGTATCACAAGTTTCCTTTACCAGAACCAAGGGGCTGAACCTAACAACTGAAAACAGCCCCTCACCATTATCCCTCAGGAAAAGCGAAAGTAGGGAAGAGCTGTTCTCATCTCTACAAACCCGAACTCACCCACCGGATAGCCAGAGGAGTGAATTTGATAAGGATATTGAGTCGAGTGGCGGAATGCTTTAAAACACTGAATATAACAATCTGCACTTACGGATGTATTTCTGCTATGCAAGTGCCAAGCTTTAGAAACCCCTTTCTTAAATGCTCACTATAAACTCTTGAGTTTATCTGTAGGAAATATGCAGTTTGGAGACATGTAACCCTGTTTACCTTTTTTTCTTTTGTTTGTTTTTTGTTTTTTATAAAAAGAGAAAACTGAATAATGACCTGGTTAATTTGTACATTTTTGAAATCAAGTTTGGAAAAGAAAAAAAAAATTTCAGAAAAAAGGCAGGACAATTTTATTTGTATAGCATCATTTTATTACATGGACAATTTAAAGTGCATTACATTAATAAGATAATAAAATAGAAGAATAATAGCCAAAACATTTGTGATACAAATAAAACAACGGACCAAAAAAAAACAGAATAAAAATAAGTTAAAAAAAATTAAAGCAGATAGAAAAAAAAAAACACAAGGCTACTCTTAATATTTTAGTATGTGTTGCTGAACAGTTGTGTTTTTAAACAGCACAAGAAGTCTAGATCAGTGTTAAACTGGACTTACTATAAAATCAACTCTTGGATTTCCAGCTCCCTCGCTTTGCTGGGGAAGCTTATTTTAACCACCTTTATCTAGTAATGTACTTAATATAAATGTGTTGTTACTGCAAATATTTCAAAGAAAATTTTGAATTTTTAAACTTGAATAGTTTCCTCGTTGTATCTGAATTAAACCAGGTATTTCACTAAGCTGTACTTATATAAAAAAAATTGTGGAGGTGTCATATGACTGCAGTTGAGAAAAACCCATAAGTTAAACTGGAAAGGAATGTAGTTGAGATCTAGACACAAAAAAGACCTAGACAAAGAATTTGTCTTTATAGCACCTTAGACTTTCAGAAATGTTAACATAAACTCCCTGTATGCCTCATTATATATTTTATACTCCTTTCAGCATCAAAGTGACTATTTCACCTCAATTAAATTAAGGATTGAATGCATTCAATGCACCAAAATGCATTCAATTAAGGAATGCATTTGGGTATTTGGATTGATGTGCAAATATAGCACACCTCGTCTACTGTTGTCGTTTTCCTCCTAACAAAAGTACAAAATCAATAACTGGAGTACAGCCAGGAACTCTTCTCTCTCTGGTTCACATAATTGAAGTTATCACATTAATATGGAATGATGACATTTCTTGGAGAGAAATGGACAGTAAGTGAACTCCTCCATCCATTTGGTTCATATTGGTCTTTGTTACAGGTTGGACCTGAGGATTCTTTCACTTTATATAATTAAGCTTCATTTTGCAAGTGGAACTTCTTCTGTCTTTAATTGTTGATGCAGCACCTCTGTAACCGCAGCCTGCACCACTCTCTGAGTCACACAGATTAAAAAGCGACAGTTTAGTCGTATAGAGCGAGACTTATTATCCTAATGTGATGGTCAAGTAGAATCTGACAATTTAGACTGCATTTAAGGAGGTTTTAAGAAGCTGGAAGGTAAGGGGTGTCTGTATTTATATTTGGACAAAGGATGAAATAAAACCCGTAAAAAAAATTGGTCGGCATTAGGCAGAGTGTTGGCACATGTTGATTTGGGGCTTTTTTCTCCTCGTAGATTGATGGTTTGGCTCAATCTATCTGCTGATGACGGCATTGGAACCAGAAATAGCTGCTGGATTGGTTGCAACAGCAAAATACATTTTAGATTAACTGGAGATAACATGACAGACCTCCGCACTGTCATCTCAAGGAACCCATCAGCAATAAATGGACCGCGGTTTGGAATCAGTACATCAGTAAGATGAGTATTTCAGCCACTTTCTTAGAGGGAAAACTCCCCCCCACTTCCCTCTGGAATCAGGCGAGGACTATCTTGGCAAATGTCCAGCTTCTCAGCTGGGGTCACGTCTGGCCCCAACAGTCTTCATCCAGAATTTTTTTTATTTTTTTTTTATTTTGTCCTCTACTTATTTTCTTTAAAAATACATTGGTTTCTCTAGGGCCTTTTAAGTAAGATTACATGGAAAATGTCTGTTTTTGTATTATACTTTAACATGGTCTTGTTGGTACTGGACCTGACTCTGATTAGAAAAATGCTACAATTTTTACTTAACTCTCCATTACTACTTGCTCAAAGGCCAGTTAGCAGGTTGCACTTACATGCTGCAGCCATCAAAGAGCTGCTGAGACTGCATTCCTTGCCAGGTAAAGATCATTTCATCTGATTAGTCCCCTGGCATTAGACGTACTTTAAGTTTTCCAAGAGGGTAATTCCTAAAGCAGTGGTAGATTAATTCAAACAGCTTTAACAATCTTAACAAGACTTACTGTGATTGTGATGACCGATTTTTCACATTCCATTTTAGGTTGCATTTTTAGCTAGATGGTGAAATGGTGAAAAGTTTCCTCCTAACCATGTATGGAAAGTGATGTTGCAGCAGAGCAAAACAAATGTTGCAATCACGGTGAGCTGTATGGAGGGGGTGGGATTTTTTTTTAATTGCAGTCTCTAAAAAAAAAAAAAAAAAAAAATCATAATAATATAAACCCACTGATTAGTACCTTTATTGCTGTGCAGGATTTAGATTTTATGCTCCCTCTAAGGTTCTTTTACCCACATTGTAAGTCAGTATTATATTGATTTTTGTTTTCAGTTCAGCTTTAAATTATGTAAATGCTCAGCTTTTGTAAGCTTTAATTAGGTGGTATGGTGTAACAGGATATTTTACAATTCTCCTGCTGCAGAAGGCTGCATACACATGGAGATTGTTCTGTGTCTCGCTGCATCTTTCAACCTGCACAAAACTATAACTGTCATAATTAACATTAACCGCAAAAGCTGTTTTGAAGCTTTCTAACAGCAAAGACTGGATGTTTTGTTCTGCTGAGATTGGCATATATCCAAGGTTACTATCCAGTCTTCTGTTTGGTCATTGTTGCGTTGAAGTGTTGGTTTCTGAAACCTGCCTAGATTCACAGAGCGTGAACACAGTTGCAGAAAGCCATTATAAACCCTGCTCTGAAATCTGGGGCACTCCAGCGTCTTTCTAAGACCTGATAACCCTCTGGTATTTCACGCCATACTGACTTTCTTTTATGAGTGCAAATCTAAAATAACTGGTGAATCAAGAGGAATTTAAAGCTATATCTCCAAACTCTATTATGTTTTTTAAAAAGTCTTTGTGCAATAAATGACCATTGGCAATGTTTTATTTAAGAAGAAACATAAAACAAGGGCAGCCAACTGGTTATATGTTCAGGAAGCTGTGCTCAGTTAAGAACAGCTGTACTGAAGTGTAAAACAGTTTGGGGTCAGTTGGAGAGGAAAAACAAACAAACTGATAAGTATGTTTTTTGTTGTTATGAAGCATTATCAGCATGAGCTGGATGTGTGTTGGCTGTGATTCACTGGTTTCCAGATGTTTCCAGTGCTACACGTAAGACAATCCCTCTGCTTTTTGTGTCGCCAGGCTTCCTGGTGTGAACGGTTTCCAGCGCAGCTCCCTGTCCAAAGCAAAGAAAACCCATTTAGGATCAAAGCATGAGGATGCAATATTAATCCAAACACCAGATTCCTCTTTGCTGTCATTCAGTTAAGCCTCAAACACAGATTCTGTTGTTTTCCATCCCCGTGTGTGAAAGAAGAGGGCTGTTTATCTAATGTTGCTGTTATGGCAGAAACAACTCTGTCACATGAGACGCTTCTGATGAAGAATGCTGCTTTTCCTTAATTATGTGCATTTTTTTTTATGATTTATTTTCTGATCCGCAGATGCAAAATATCTGGATGCCAAAATTATGCATTAGTAGATGCAGACTAAATCTACCATAACACCCCTAGGATATGCACATTTTCGGATAAAATGAGAGAGTTCAACTTTGGAAGATAGTATATTGAATTATATTGATAAGCAGACAAAAAAAAACATGTAAAAAATGACAATGAATAGAATGTATATACTTCCTCATCCTTTCAGGGGTTGTGGTGGTGCTGATGCCTCCTGTAGTGTTTGGACCACCCCCCCCCCTTTAACGACCGACCCCTAGAATCATAGACAGGTTCAGATATTACAGGCTAACGATGGAACTAACGACCCATTCATCGGTTACCATTGCATGTTTCCAAGCGATACAAGGCGTTGTCTATAAGACTCAAACTCACTGCGGATCCAGACATTTGAATTGAGAAAGCTTCCTGGAGAGGTGGCGAAACGTCTTCAAATCTTGAAAACCAAGTCCAGTGGATATTTTTTGAATTTTTACGGAATGACCCTGGATAGGTTGTGTGTCTCCTACAGGGCAACACAGAGACACAAGGGACAAACAGTCTTGCAAAAAAAGCACATTTTTATCTTAAGGACAATTTATAGAAACCAGCTCACTTAAAAGTCCTGTATTTGAACTGTGGAAAAAGACGAACCCATCCAAGCATCAGAAAAAACATAGATTGGTTCTCTAACAAAAGCAGCACTGTGAGGATATCAGCCAAGAAAGGGATTTCTGCTTTTATTCATATATTTTATTTAAAATGACCCTAGGACAATAACTTTAAACCCTTCAGCAACAATAAATTTCCAAACTCCTCCTACGACGGTTCACCATTTTTTCTGCATGATTCCACTGGTATTTTATTAGTCCTTGGTGATGAGCTTCAGTCTTTAAAGTTTAAAGGCATTCCAACCATCACTCTCATCCTTAGCTCATGCTTTAGACTTATTTAAGTGTAGAAGAATCAGAAAGAGAAGGGATGCAGGGGTAGAGCAATAGATCAGACTTCAGGGACCTAAATATTTGATGCAGTTATCACATGTTCATGTCCTTATCTGTAATTACTGGTAAAATCTGTAGTTGTCTGTAAAATGTTTGCTGCATGCAAAGTTTATTGTGTGATAAAGGCCACTGATGCTGAAAAAGTAATAAATAAGAAAGAGGACCTTTTAAAATAAGCCTATGTTTGAGGGCACTAAGGTCACTGGTTTTTATTTACCTGAACTTTGTCCCTGGGAAGGAATTAAAGATTCATGGAGCTGGTCAGAGAAAAGACATGTTAATATTTGATTCTGTGATTAATCCTGACCGCCATCTCTCTCTCCTCCTCTGTTTGCAGCTGTTCGCCATGGTGAGCCTCGTCTCCTCGGCCTCCTTGGCAGATCTGACATGTGAAACTCTGCTCATGCTGGCAGGGAACGTCTCGCGTAAGTCAAAGACAAGTATTAACTCAGCGGTTATAACAACACTTCCGTCTTTTTTTTACAAGCAGTTATTTCCCAGAGCTGTCAAATCCAAGTGTTTGAGCCGCTTGCCTGTTAGCACACTTGTGAGATTTAATTGATTTTCAGTCTTTTCTTTTTCATGTCGATAACCTCTAAATGTCAAAGCCTCATCTTTAGTCTCAACTTTGGTCTGGTGAATATTGGCAAACTGTCTTTTTATATTATTCACTTTCTTTGTAGAGCTCACAAGTAAACTTAGACTGGAAAAAAAATGAAAATATCGAATATATTTATTTTTATTTTTATATCTTTCAACAAAGATGTTAAAGATTGTTCTAGATTAAAAATAAACTTTTTTTTTAAATCACGTGCTTGTGTAAAATTCAAAACATATGATGGCCTTACGCAAAAAATACTGAGGTTTCATTTCATGTCTCGTTTGATGAATGTTGGTAAACATGTAATTTCTTTTAATTTTAAAGCTGAAGTAAAACTATTAAAACGTTTATTGAGATGCATTATATAGTTATAACAATGAGTACAGATGCACCAATCAATAAGCTAAAGATCAGTAATCAGCCATTCAGATAGAGAAATCTGATCTTTTTTCTTCCCATCAGAACTTGCAATTTGTATATTGTCAAGGCTTAGAACAAGAGGATCCAGACAGACAGTTAGATTTCTAAAAAACGTTTATTAAGAAAACGGATCTGCAGTAAACAGCGAGGGTGTCTAAGGCAGGAACCTCTGCAGTAAGAGAACACAGGTTAGTGACCACGGGAAGGCAGGATTATCCATAGTGCGAAGCCAAAATCGATGTCAAAGACGTTTAGGAGTCTCTGCCAGGAGATTAGAGATCCAAAGAGGTATCAAAGGGAAATCCAACAGTGTCATGAATGAGTTCCAGTCAGAAATGCAGCAGGAGTCTGAAAACAGGTCTGGCAAATAGATCAGAATAGGAACAGGCAGACTCAGACGTCCAGAGGCAGGACAGGTCAGGATCAGGCAATCAGAAAACTCTAATGCTCTTGAGAGAACTCACCAAGTGCTTGAATAATCTGGCACTAATGACTGGAAACAGGTAGGTTAAATAGAGGCTGGAACAGGTGGATCAGGTGAAAGGTAATGAGAAACTGGGCAGAGATAAGCAGTAAATTTCTTCTATTATGGAAGAGAGTGCTGTGTGCAGGCATATAACTGAGTCTCGCCCCTATCTAAAGATAAAGGATTATTGTTTGGTATATATGTCATGATCATTGCACTCAAGACTGGCTTCATTACTCATTTCATTCTCCTGCTTATCTGTGCCCAGAACTGCTCAGCACAACATGGTCAATGACCCAAACAGTACGCTTACACCAAATGGAATTCCTGCAACAAAGTTAACATTTTCGAGTACCATGGCTCACATTATATATTGCCAGCTATTTGTTTGATGGGCAACAGGAATTTATATGGGGGCAACTTTCCACTGTGTCATTGAATATGGTGCTAGGCAATTCACCCTCAACATGGTGGACCTGGATTTAGTGAGTCATGGTGCCTTATGTAATCCAGAGAGCAGGAAAAAAAGCCATTGGCATCAACATACCTAGGTTCACTAGGTTTTCCAGAGACAGAACATGATTGGAAAGTACTGCCATCTTCTCTAGGAGCAGACGGAGAGGACGGTCGATTTCATCAGTACTTCCTTCTGACCAGGACCTGAAACTATCCCACTTTGGGGAAAGTTTGCCTGGACAACAATGAATCAGAGAGAGCATGAGAGCAGGAAGAGGCGGTTGCTGGCCAGGGTTTTCGCAGATTACGACCTGGATCATCACCGACATTTAATGGATTGTTCCTTTGACTGAGGGACAACTTTGATAAAAAGTTCATTAAAACCTTCTCCATAACTTTTCCAGTTATTCTGTACACAGACAGACAAAAGCTCACACACAAACTCTCTCTAAAAACATAACATCCTTGGCAGCGGTAATAATTATTTGTAAATGTAGAAAATCAGAATCAAATTGATTCATTAAATTTGTATTGATACCCAACCTTAGTCCTAGATCCCTGCTCCAGTGTGTTTAAAACTTGTTAACAACTACAGGAAACATCTGATATCTGTAATTGCAAACAAAACGTTCTGTATATAAAGTTCTTTTTTTTTTCAATGTATCAAGTACTTACCGTGAAATACAATGCAAATAAATAAATTAATAATCATACAATGTGATTTATCTTGATAATTATTTTAGATCCTACAGTATAACTTATAGTTGAAGAGCATTATAGTAATGAAAGACTGTTAGGTTTGAACACCAAACACCTTATTCAGCAACCTGCACAAAGAATGACACAGAGAATTGAGTATATTTTACTTGCAAGGAGAGGGGATCAGAAACTGCATTCAGTTACAACTTCAAACCCACTCTGAAGCAGTATCTGCTCTCCAAGCCCTTTATTGAAAAAACGCCCTGATTACAATGTGGTTTCAACCGCTAAAGGGGGAGGGAACAGAACCCAGTTGAAACCAGAATTTTCGTACAACATCATACAACATCATACAACATCATAGGATAAGGAGAACCCCTCTCCTTATCTAGTTGCACAGTTCTCCATTCTCCTCCACACCCTTAACGACATCTGTTAACAGCAGTCGCAGTCAGCATCCCTCCTGCACAGACTTAAAAAACATTAATGACACAGCAAACAAAACTAAATGTTTTAACACTCTTTGTAATATGAGTAAGATAGAGATAACAAAATGTGTAAGTATAATATGATTAAAGTAATATGATTAAAGTAGAATAACTTATGTACAATTAATTAACCCAACATTTCCCTCCTGTTTATTCACTTTAAGCTATTTATTTTATCATTCAATAGTTACTTCTTTTCAGATTTTCAACTAAGAAATCATTCTTTTTTTTTTTTAGCTGTAAAGGGTACACTCAGAGGTACTTTAAACTGGTGGGTTATTGTCGTTGGGATTAGGATAAAAGTCAGGAAAGTGTAAAGAGAATTCATCCTCTTCGCTGTCTTCATTATCCGATGGGTGTTCCTCAGTGGACATAAGGGCATACATTTCTGTTTTCATGGGTTGTATTGCAGTGGTAATTAGTCTATTTAGCAGCGCTCTAATACATGGAATACAACAACATCCACATAAGGTCAGGATGGCGGCAAATATAGCTACAGACATCAAAATAGAAAGTACCAGTTGTTTGTATTTACCAAAAATGTCTCCAGATCCATCCCACATTTTTGTGTCAACTCCAGAATGGTCTTTCATTTTGCTGTTAAGAGAGCGAAGGCCTTCAAGGGCCTTTGTGAGGCTGCCATCTGCAGCGGTGTTGTTGGGAATAAAGGTGCAACACTGATCTCCAAAAATAGAGCACACACCACCTTTTTCAGCTAACAACATGTCAACAGCAATACGGTTCTGGAAAGCCATCAGAGAGGTAGCTGACAATTGTTCATGGACGGCGGAGAAGCCTTGTTCTGTTCTATTTCCCAGCCTCTGGACGTTATAATGGATGTAGTTGATCCTGTCTACATTTTTATTTATAGTACACCACCGGCATAAGAAAGATTCAAATCCTGCAGAAACTTGATTCACTAGTTTATACTCATCTGGATCACCTCTGGGTACTCCAATACTGTCAATATAAGTAGGGTCATCTGGACTCCACGCATTTTCAGATGCCCTCCTTCTTCTAGTATGCCATGTGTGAGGTAAAATACTGTTTACAGTCGTTAACAATTCATCCATTGTGAGTGAAGTAATAGAAACAGGTAAAATCAAGGTGACTGCAGCACACAATCCAGTGGTGTTGCATGGAAGTCTGTCAAACAATTTGTCATCTCCACACCACCACCAGATGTCACTGCGGGATTGAGGTTTAAAAAAGGTGGATACCAGTAAAATACTTGCACATTGTTTTTCATTTAGTGTACCCAATTTTGGGCCCACTCCGGTCCTGTTTACACAGGTGAAATTTGCCACAGCCACTTTCTTCAAAAAGATTGGTTTTTTCTTCTCATCTGTGGTCAGGGGATAGATCTTATCCCAATAGGTGCAATTATCAGTTGGAACTGTATAATTCATTATATTTAGAAGACATTGAGGAGTTATGGTAGCAGGAACCACACGTAACAGCGGTCTGGCTCCCATACACACAAGACAATCATTAGACACTGTTTTAGCTGCTTGTTCTGCCATTAAAAGCCAGTTGTTTGTTTGCCCAGAGATTCCAGTGGTGACTTGAAACAATTCATCCGTTTTAAGCGGGTCATTAATATTTTGAATTTTTATCTGTTCACCTTGGGCAGAAGTAAGAATCCCTTGTATCTCATTTTCTTCTTGTGTAACATTTGCAGAGCACAGATACAATGTCCAACATGGATCGGTTTCACTAGACCGTGCACATATAAATGAGGAAGAACAGCCTTCCTTCTCAAGGGGTTCTGCTGTGGAGTTTATTGTCATAGTGAAAACTTTGGAGGCATGGTTAACAGTGAACCCTGATATTCTACTCATCCATTTCTTAGCTAAAGATGTCCATCCATATGATCCTTTTTTCCACTGTCCAGTGGTTCTGAAAACGTCTCCCCAACTCTTTTGAGTTCTTTGAACTACACAGGGATATAGGTAGAAATCATAACCTCGCCAATCTCCCGGGTCAATTTTAAATCTTTGCGAGAATGTTTGAAAAGGAATAGTCACCAAACTGATTACTCTAGTAGAGTTATAGCAGAGATAGACGTCCCTTTTACAAATAGCTGGCTCATGGGGGCAACAAGAATCCTTGCCCTGAGTGAGAGCTAAAGACAAAACTAATATGAAAAGTTGCAACATTATCTAGGTTCAAACTTCAAAAAGTTTCCTATGGGTAATCTTTTACACAGTGGTCTACTTCCTATGACCTCTCGACAGAGTTGTTGAACCTTCACTAGTTTGAGACGGTTGTATGCTAAAAAATATAACCCCCTTT